AAAACGAGTTGTGTTGGAAGGATCATTGCTACAATTGAGTTAAAGTTAAATGATCATTTCTCCAGTTGAATTAAAGTTGAGGGACTATAGCTGCACGTTTTGATGAGTTGAGGGATCAATGGTAATATATTTTTAGTTGAGGAATCATTGCTCTAATTGAGTTAAAGTTAATGAACCATACTCGTGGTGAGGAAGCAATTGGTTACGACAAAGCTTCTGATGATAACACAAATATGAGATGGAGGCCAAAGACTGGGTCGACTTATGTTTGTAATGATGTTAGTAATGCTAGTGCTAATACTAATACTGCTGATGGTAATGATCATCGAACGTAATTGGGATTAGAAATTTGTTCAATACGACATGCAATAGACTTATTTTTTTATTTATTTTTTATTTTTATTTAAGTGGACCAGCTAGGGACAAAGCTACGACAGTTAATTTTTTTAGAGGTCGAAAAGACTCACAGAGATATTTTAACCTCATTCAAACCATCATCGTGTGATTCACCCAAGTTACCTTGATTTGTAGACAATTGTAATTAAATAGTTAGGTAAATTACATAGTAGTCCCTCAGGTTTGAGATCTATTACAAAGCCCATACATCAACTTTAAAACATTTCACTTTCATACATCTAGTACCATTTTATTTCAAAATAACACATCCGTTAGATTTTCCATCCATTAGTCTGTTAAATGTTGACGTGACTACTACATTTGTGCTGATATGGCTGATACGTGGAATTTTTTTTTTTAATTTTTAGAAAACCTAAATCTTCTAAATATTAAAATTTAAAAAAAAAACTAGAAAATCCCAAACCCAGATCCCTTCCTTCCCCACCCCCACCCTTCTGCAACTCCCAAAATCCTCTCTTCTCCCCGCAACCCCCACCCCACCCCACCCGCGTCCCACACCCCAAAACCAGAAACCCAGAACACCCATGCACCCCCCACCCGCGACCCTCCCTATGCACCTCCCAACCCGCGACCCTTCCTCCTTCCACACCCACCCTCTTTCCTTCTCTACACACCCCCCACCGCCGACCTAATTGCTTCTTCTACCGCCACCGCCACCGCCACCACCACCGCAGACAATCAAGACAACAACTTGCTTCAAGTTATGTACGCCATGGAAGTTGCGGAGGCCACAATCAAGCAGCATGTGGAAGACAACATTCAATTGCGGGCTTAGCTCGAACACAAGATTCTTGAGCTGCACAGGTACAAACTCCACAAATCCATGGCCGCCCAATTGCCACCTTCCGCCCGTGAATCTCAGGACCAAGCTCATGAGGTAGCTGCCGCCGGCATCGACAATCGAATCGAGAGGATTGCGAATCACGGTTCGTCACAGCAGAGTCGTGGAGAATCGGAAACAAGAGAGACCCAGTTGGGCATCAGCGAAATCAATGAACGAATGAATGTGGTTCAGGTTTCAGGTGCTCCGACGGCGGTTGATAACGCAAGCAACGGGATATCGAGATTGCCATCGCTGTCTACGATGACTTCATTTTCACCAGGCAGGTCGAGCATGGAGGGGGATTACGGAAATGGGTTGATGCCATTGACCAAGTTGAACAACCCTAATAGCAGAATGTTGAAGAAGGATCTGGTTGTTAGGGTTCATGAGCATGATTAGGAAATTATGCAATTGCGGAAGCATTTGGCGGATTATTCGATCAAAGAGGCGCAAATTCGGAATGAAAAGTATGTGTTGAAGAAGCGCATTGCTTACATATGCTTGGCATTTGATCAGCAGCAGCAGGACCTTATGGATGCTCCATCAAAGTCTTTGTCCTACAGGCAAGACCTTGAAGATGAAGATGGGTTTTTTATTTTTTTTTTCCTCTCCTATTCTTCTTCGTCTGGTTACAGGTTGTGTGGGTGGGTTGCAGGTTCAGCTTTTGATTTTGGTTGTTTTTTTTAATAATTTAGAAGATTCAGGTTTTTTTATAAAAAAAAAATTAAAAAATTATTTTTTTGCCACATGGTACAAATGTGGCAGCCACGTCATCACTTAACGGATCAATGGATGAAAAATGTAACGGATGTATTCTTTTGAAATAAAATAGTACTTGAGGTATGAAAATGAAATGTTTTAAAGATGTTGTATGGAATTGTGTAATAGACCTCAAATGTGAAAAGCTACTCTGTAATTTTACCTAAATAGTTTGTTGTGCGTTTGTGCCCTATTGGTCAATCGCTGTAAATATATGGCAAAAAGTTCTCAAACAACATTATTACTATAGCAAATTAACTACTCCGTGGCTTGAAAAAAAAGTGAGTACGAGGCATCAAGTTTGACTTTAGGATTGACGAATTCGATATTTATTTGTTGCTTGTAGCTTTGTATATAAAAATAAAATAGGCTTGAAAAAAATAGTGCATGACAAGAAAAGGGAAGCAATTAAAAAATCATCCGAGGTGCATGCAATTATGTAATAACATAAGTTTAAGAGTAAAATGTTAACGTCGTGATTGAGGTGTGTAATGATCTAGTCTTGAACGTGATACTTTTCAAAATTTAATAGGATAATGTAGCTAATATTTTGCAAGCATTTTACTATACTGATCAACCTACAAAAGGGTACATCATGTGTGTGGCTGGATTGGCTCCACCTCACCTGCATGTGAGTGAATGGCAATCGAATTATAACTTCACCTTCCCCAATTTACTCCTCAGGTCGGGTTACAACTATGACGAGCAGAAAATGTGGCAGATTTTCTAACTCTATTCTTTGCACACAGTTGAGCAAGTGATGATCCTCTTTCGAGCCGAAATGTAGCCAAAACATGTAGAAATAAAGCCGTACATAAAATTTTCACCTCATGCAACTCCTCCTTCAACTCTTATATGTTTTGAAGTATTCTCTTGTGATTGTTATATCAGTAAAGTTTGTCCATTCAGTAGAAACACGTGTGTAAAGCACATAGTTTACGTGTTACAAAAGGATTCTATGCGTGTTTGTTAACCCAAGTAAGGTTCGTTCATAGTGAGCTGCATTGCAAAGAGGATCTACATGAGTTGATGCCTGTGTTTATATATAAGACAGCAACATAAAACTTTCAACTGTGAAAGAAAAGCTTACGTGAAACGGATTCACTATCACCGTGATGAGTGGTTGGTGTTTCCAATAAAATTTGAGTATTGCTGTGAAAAAAAGGGTCAAATAGAACCAAACAATAAATTAGGGTAATTTCACTTTATTATCTAGAAATATCGTGATTTTCAAACTTTTATGTATCAAATTTTTTTCATCGCAGTTAATGTAAGGAATAGAACAAATGTCACATCCCGGCCCGGGGCAAACCACTTCCCGAGCCAGCTCCACCACCGTAACACGATATTGTCCGCTTTGGGCCCCGACCACGCCCTCACGGTTTTGTTTCTGAAAACTCACGAGCAACTTCCCACTGGATCACCCATCATGGGAGTGCTCTGGCCACCTTCTCGCTTAACTTCGGAGTTCCGACAGAACCCGAAGCTAGTGAGCTCCCAAAAAGCCTCGTGTTAGGTAGGGATGAGAATATACATAAAAGGGTCACTTTCCTGGGCGATGTGGGATCTTACAATCCACCCCCCTTAAGGGGCCGACGACCTTGTCGACATACCACGGCCAGGGTTAGGCTCTGATACCAATTTGTCACATCCCGGCCCGAGGCGGACCACTTCTCGCACCACCGTATCACGATATTGTCCGCTTTGGGCCCCAACCACGCCCTCACGATTTTGTTTTTGGGAACTCACGAGCAATTCTCAGTGGGTCACCCATCATGGTAGTGCTCTGGCCACCTTCTCGATTAACTTCGGAGTTCTGACGGAACCCGAAGCCAGTGAACTCCCAAAAGACCTTGTGCTAGGTAGGAATGAGAATATACATATAAGGATAACTTCCTTGGACAATGTGGGATCTTACAACAAAAATATCAAAAACAATTAGAAATGCACTCCATAAGCATAGTCATTTGGAAATTTCTCATCTTAGACATGCCTTCGTAACATAAACAGCTCCATTTCTCACTAACTTTTCATCTATCCCTTAAAGTTTGAAAATCCCTCTCGCTCAAACATAATCTAAAGGAACTTTAAAACACCCACATCAAGAAAGGAAAAACGAATAGTGAAAAAAAATTATCTATCATTGAAATACAATTGTAGAACAAACTATTTTGCCATGTATACTATATTCGCTAATTGAGAATCAATTGAAAATACCTTAATTAAATATTCTAATTGAGTACATACGTCAAATACTTTTTTTTAATTATAGTTTCTAATACACGCATGGATAGCTATGAGCTTCATTAGTTATTTTAATGATATTCATATCGATCAACAGTTGTAAAATTTTAAGCCCATTGTATCATGTCAGTGTAGATAGTTGGTAAATTCAAATTCATTTGAAACACTCGTATGTTTGTGTAGTCATATTGAAGAATTTTTATAGGTTCGGTTATATGCACACACGTGAGCAACTAAGAATTACATCAATCATTAACTTAGGACATTCACATCTATTAACAATTGTGAGTTAAAACGCACAATGTAACGCTCAAATATTGGTATAGTTAGAAAAATTCAATCTCTTAACCAAGACATTTGCATCATATCAAGAAGATACAAACAGAAAAATATAAAATTCCAAGAACTTCATAGCAATTTTTGTTTAGAATCAATTAGAGTACCTACCCCTACATGTAACTTTCCCACGTGGAACGTGGTTTAACTAAGTATACAAGAAAGCGAAACATGTCATTTAGAGAAGAAGATTGTAGCAGCCTTTGTTTGGTTGGACTTGTTGAATAATATTGAATGAGCATTGATAATATATGCCAAACCTATACATATTTACTCCTCTCATTTATGCCAAACCTACACAACACAAGTACATGTACTTGTGGTAAGGTGAGTCCGGCAAGGCACACAGTGACATTGTAATCACAATTATCTTCTTTGCATGGATCAGATTATGGCACGTCTTTCTTGACTCTGGGGTTGTCCACAACCACACGTTAAACCTTCCTTTGGAAGGTTGGGAGTCTATAAAGAAACCAGGGACCCTTGGACTGGAGCTTTCTCCAGTATTGTTTAGGAATGCAATTTTAGCAAACCCTATAGTCTCTCTGACTTTAACCCGCACAAAGTCTTTCGTTCACCATACTAAAAACATTCGTCAACAAAGTCTTTCCCGACCACCTCCTCCTTCTCCTTCAGCACAATGACATCTCTTTCTCCATGTCTGGTAATCCTTCTCATTTTTCTCTCCTTTGATTTGATCTAGACATGTAGATCTATTTTTATTTTGTTACTTTTCTCCTGCCTTTTGTGTTTTGTATGACTTTATTTATGTTGTTTTAACACAACAGGCACAAGTTTTCTACTGAAAGGATTATTGGAATGGAAGGGATAGGAAAGAATACATCATCAATGATTGATTCAGCCGTAAGTAAATAAATCGATTTATTATTTCTTTATTTAGGGTACCTCATATCATAAATATTTTATTAAAATGGTACAAGGTTTGAAATTGGCTGCTTCACTGCTTTTATTTGATATGATAGACACATCTAGTTGTTGACTCTCTTTTCTATTTTAATTAATGTTCTCCGGCACTTTTTTCTAGACTCGGTAATTTTTTACACAACACAAGAATAACAGGTTTTGAGTTAACATGATAACTAATCGGGTCATTAACGGATATACATGGGCAACACATGGGTAATCCGTTTCGACCCGTTAAGAAAAAAATTATTATAAAATATAATAGCCGTATTAATATATACAATATATTCTATGTTAAATATATAGTTTTGTATTATTATTTTATATAAGTTAAAAAAAAATTTAGTCATTATTTATTTTTATTATGGGAATTCCTTATTATCATTACTAGAATAAATTTTACTTAAAATGTTGTTGTCCAAAATTAAAATAAATTAGTATAGTATTTGTATAGGCAAGAAATAAGAAGATATAGGTACAGTTATGAAAAATGTGAAAGAATATATAAACACTCGTTATTCATCATTATTCATCTACGAGTAGATAATGGTTACACTTACATTATCGTTTAGATTTTTAAAATTCTCCAAACCCTCATGAATAATGTTTTTTATTTGAGGAAAAAATTAAGAAAATTAATAATAATTATTGGAGAAGTGTAAAAAATGTAAAAAACAAAAAAATACAATCATTCACTGTAATAAGCTTTGCTACTTTCATGAAAATGTCAGCTTCGAAATCCAACACTATAATTCATAAACCTTTAATTTATATTTAACCATCGATTTACATTTACACTTTATTCTTATTACTAAATTTCATTTTTAAAATTTTCTATTTTTGAAAACATGATCATCTGGTGGATGTAAGAAGATGAACGATTATGATCTTTGATATCATGTTTCGATATTTACGGTTAATTTAAATATGACTCGATATCATATAGTTTGTAAAAACTTTATAAACATCAAACAATATTTTCACTAACGGTAAAACTCAGAACATAATATCAACGATCCAAATCGTTCATTTTCCTGCATCCTCTAATAGATCATGCTTTCAAAAAAGAAAATCTGAAGAAAAAAAACAAAATTTGATGAGAAAAATGAAGCGTAAATGTAAACAATAATTAACGGTTAAATTTTGATCTATGATTTATATAATTATAGTAACGAATTTCGAAGTTAAACTATTCACGAAAGTGGTAAAACTTGTTATTGTGAGCATTTATATATATTTTTTCTATATTTTTTACACTTCTACATTAATTAAAAAACTATTAAAGACGTTACTTAAATAATAGCCATAAAATAAATGAGAGTAAATCTGTATCATTAGATTCTATTTCACTTCTAATGTTTTTTTTTATTATGCTCTTATTTTGGAAATGTAAATATATACTTAAAAAAAATTGCGTTTTTATGTTTTGGATGTGACAATATGGTATGTATACACTTATTTAGTATTATGTTTTTCATTTGATTATTTATTGACTTAAAATATATTTTTCTTAACAGGTAATTGGTCGGGTTATATTACTTGTTAATATGATCAAGTCGATTTCAGGTTGGGTCATTTTACCCATTTATTTTAACGGGTGTTACACGACACGACCCGTTAAGATATTGAGTATGACACTAAAATGACACGAACACGGAAAACACTACATGAATGCCAAATCTACTTTTTTCCATGTGTTTTACTCTGGGGTCTCACAACACCTTGGAAATGACTTTTTTCGTCAAATCACATCATGATCCCATATTTTTATTACTTTTTCTCACATTACAAACCAAAATGTCGCACTAACTAGCATTGAAGCATTTCGTGCTAACTAGCATTGCACCTATATTTTTTTTACTTTGTTACCATTTTCTTCTCCTACGCAAGCCTTCGCTATATTCACTCTACAAATGTCGTTCCTAATCGTTGTTGGGGTTTTGGCCCTTATAATGGCCATTGGATTTCTTATTTGTATATTGATTCCTGTGTACGTTACGTTTGTGGTGGAACTAGTACACAATCGGATATTGTCAGGCTCTTCGTTGCCTGTGAGTTGCAAATCGCCGCCTGTTGGTCCCCAAATCCTCACTCCAGTTTGCCAATGAGCTGCAAATCTCCGAAGTTACACACTCTGGAGGAGCTAGGATTCCCACAAGTGTCCACCTGAGCAAGCTCTTGGCGAAATGTTGCGGAATGAACGGCAAGCATAAATTAATTTGATTTTTTGTATTTTTTTCTTGCTAATGTAGAGATTTGTGTGGTAACTAACTTTAAATTCTGTATGAAATATATAAGTTTTGACAAATTAATGTATCGTATTTCTTGCTAATTTAGAGACTTTGTGTTTTGTCGATGGACTGCCCGAGGCAAATGGGAACTGTGTAGGAGTTTGGAAATTATAGAAGATCCTACTTACATGCTAAAAAAAAAAATGACCCTATTTTGACAGATTTTATGCATCAGATTTCATGCTTTGATGACGCATGATTTTGTTATTGGATTGATTTATGTTAGTATGTTAGTATATTATAATTTTGCCTCGTAACGTATGATTTTGTTATTGCACTGTTTTTCTTGGCAATGGTTACAAGTTTCAATTATTTTTGTGTCTATAACCAGGTACAACATTTTTCCGGAAGTGGGAGAAAGCTCCTATTGTAAGAAAATCGAGGAAAAGAGAGTGGGAAAACGATGGGAATGCGATAGGTGTGGGGATAATAAGGGAATGCATGCCTATCATCTTAGAGAACTTGGCATTGTATAAAAAGAGGGGTAATTTCTTTGTTTTTTTTGCTATTTTGAAATATGGGAACGGAGCCCTCCCAAATCTTGTTTATTAAAGTAAATTATAGCTTTAGGTGATTGGGAAAAGAGGGGGAATTTCTTTGTTTTTTGTTTTTTGTTTGGCTATTTTGAAATATGGGAACGGAGCGCTTCCCAAATCTTGTTTATTAATGTAAATTATACTTTAGGTGATTGGGATGTTAGCACTCCAGAATAACTCATCTCCATGCAACGTGTATTTTTTGAGTACGTTAATATATCCTCTTCTACATGGTCTTTTAAAGTGACGATTAAAGAGGTTTACGGTCGACAAGTCGACTGAATGTCACTTTAGGAGACTGATTCGTACCAAAATATATATAAATTTCTGTTACCAGCGGCTCGAGCCACTTTGTGCGGAGAGGTAGATTTAGTTTGGGTCGACTGATTAGTACTTTAGTCCATAACTAGATCAAGTCGACTGAATGTTGTTTTAGTTCGGAGAGTTGGATTTAGTTTGGGTCGACTGATTATTACCTTTCATTCCCCAGCATTTCGCCAAGAGTCTGCTCAAGTGAGCCAGCGCCGAGCCACGCTGCATAAAGTAACAAACTGATGATTCTGCACAAAGTAATAAACTGATTCTGCAGACTATAAATAAACTGATCTAATAATAGCTTCCAAAAAAATGAAAATAATCCATGTATTTAACTTTGATCTTTCCCAGCTGCCGTGGTGAGCCGAAGGCCCCACGGCCCAAATTAAAACTACTTATGCAGAGATGATTGTGGTCATTTTATGTTGTACTACTGACGTAGCATGAAGCAATGAAAGGGTTACCAGAGTAATCCCTTGTAGAACAAAGTTACTGGAGTCTACCAGTTTAATAGAAATCCCGAAGAATAATTTGATTAATTAATTGAAAGATGAAAAGATGAATACAAATGAGAAGCCAAATGGCTTAAAAAAACAGATTACTAGGGTATCTCAAAAGACTTAGGTAATTAAGACGAAAATTAAAAGACAGATAATAAAGCCCTTGAAACCCCAAAAGACAAATAATAAAGAGCTCAATTTATTAGTAGACTGCTCTTATGACTGATTTCTGTAAAAGATGGTCCAAGCCACTTTTGTGGGAGAATTGAACACCTTTTCTACGACGGCACCAGAAATGAAAGTAAAGTTCATTCAACAAGAAAAGTTCAAAACATCAACTTTCGAGATATGACCGTAGTAAATAATCTATTAACATGTGAATTACCAATTTTCCAATCATTTTTCTTTATTGTTCGCCGCTTCCTTCTTTTAGTTTTATTGCATTTGAAATAATCAGATTTCTGTCATACATCAAACTCCTCCACTTGAAAGGAACTCGACCTCGAGTTCGTCTTGAAACGGTCTTGATAGCTAGTGGATAACTCCCTTGTTAAGAAAATAAATTCTTCAACTTGAGAAGCCCAACTTTCCGTATACTTGGGGTGGAATAATCATGAAATTAATTCCATAAAAACCATATGGAAAAGATGCTGATGCATCTGGAACAATTGACAAACTTGATAGAAAAGATGTGATGCGCAAACACGACGCCTTTTCAGGTTGGAGGGGGCCCTTGTGGTCTGAGACTTGGTCTCCATTGTGAATTCACGGCCCAGGATTATGGAAGCACCTGGGTTGTGGCTGCAGTATACTAATACAAGTAGGGAGGGAGGGAGGGGGAGAGGAAGAGAGAGAGAGAGAGAGTAAAACTGATGATAAATCATTCCCATAGCATACCATAAAAGTAATTAAACATTTCTACCGTTCCAAACACACAAACAACGTTATTTAAAGGGGTTTTCTAACTTTATTCATTGAAGAATATTGAAATTTAAAATAAATCTGGTGTTAGATTATGTATTGATTATAGTCCCTTGATGTGTCCTTAATTCAATGTATTTTTCATTTAATGTCTCCCATTAAATATTTAAATTTATTAATATACACATTTTAATTTATTTTTTTACCAAACAAAGTTTTTTTAATTTATTAATTTTATTTAACATTCTTCAAACTTGAAAAGCTCAAGTAATGTACCAAAATGTGTATACCCAAATGTATGCACCGAAATGTATTATATTAAACTAATGTATCTAAATGTGTGTACCGAAATGTATGTACCCAAATGTATGCACCGAAATTTATTATATTAAACTAATGTACCTAAATGTGTGTACCAAAATGTATTATATTGAATTAATGTACCTAAATCTTTGTATCAAAATGTATGTACGGAAATGTGTATACCTAAATGTATGCACTGAAATGTATTATAATGAATTTAATGTACCTAAATGAAGAAGACAAAGTATATCGAAATATATTGTAAAACAAAAGTTAGTTTATCTAAATGTTTACAACAAAAGTTAGTACTAATACTAATATGATAATGATCATAGAATGTAATTGGGATTAGAAATTTGTTCAATATGACATGCAATAGAATTGTTTTTTTTAAAAAAAAAAACAAGTGGACTAGCTAGGGACAAAGCTACGACAGTCAATTCTTCTGGAGACCGAAAAGATTCACAGAGACATTTCAACCTCCTTCAAACCATCATCGTGTGATTCACCCCAAGTTACCTTAATTTCTGGACAATTATAATAAAATAGTTCGTTGTGCGGTTGTGCCCTAGGCTATTGGTCAATGGCTGTAAATATATGGTAAAAAGTTCTCAAACAACATTATTACTATAGCAAATTAACAACTCCGCCGCTCGATAAAAAGTGAGTATGAGGTATCAAGTTCAACTTTAAGATTGACGAATTTGATATTTATTTGTTGCTTGTAGCTTTGTATATAAAAATAAAAGAGGCTTGAAAAAAATAGTGCACGACAAGTAAAGGGAAGCAATTCAAAAATCATCTTCGATTAATTAAGGTGCATGCAATTAACAACATTTGTCTTCAAAGATTGTTTCTAGTTTTTACTTCTATCCATAGAGAGTTATGTAATAACATAAGTTTAAGAGTAAACTGTTAACGTCGTGATTGAGGTGTATCATGATCTAGTCTTGAAGGTGATACTTTTCAAAATTTAATAGGATAATGTAGCTAATATTTTGCAAGCATTTTACTATACTGATCAACCTACAAAAGGGTACATCATGTGTGTGGCTGGATTGGCTCCACCTCACCTGCATGTGAGTGAATAGCAATCGAATTATAACTTCACCTTCCCCAATTTACTCCTCAAGTCGGGTTACAACTATGCCGAGCAGAAAATGTGGCAGATTTTCTAACTCTATTCTTTGCACACAGTTGAGCAGGTGATGGCCCGCTTTCGAGCCGAAATGTAGCCAAAACATGTAGAAACAGAGCCGTATATAAAATTTTCACCTCACGACTGCTCCTTCAATTCTTATATGTTTTGAATTTTGATGAATAGTAGTCTCTTGTGATTGTTATCTCAGTAAAGTTTGTCCGTTCAGTAGAAACACGTGTGTAAAGCACATAGTATACGTGTTACAAAAGGATTCCATGCGTGTTTGTTAACCCAAGTAAGGTTCGTTCACAGTGAGCTGCACTGCAAAGAGGATCTGCATGAGTTGATGCCTGTTTTTATATATAAGACAGCAACATAAAACTTTCAACTGCGAAAGAAAAACTTATGTGGAACATATTCATTATCACTGTGGTAAGTGGTTGGTGTTTCCAATAAAATTTGAGTATTGTTGTGAAAGAAAAAAGGGTCAAATAGAACCAAACAATAAATTTAGGGTAATTTCACTTTACTATCTAGAAATATCGTGATTTTCAAACTTTTATGTATCAAATTTTTTTCATCCTAGTTAATATAAGGAATAGAACAAAAATATCAAAAACAATTAGATATGCACTCCATAAGCATAGTCATTTGCAAATTTCTCATCTCATACATGCCTTCGTAACATAAACAGCTCCATTTCTCACTTAACATTTCATCTATCCCTTAACGTTTGAAAATCCCTCTCGCTCAAACATAATCTAAAGGAACTTTAAAAACCCCACATCAAGAAAGGAAAAAAGAATAGTGAAAATACCTTATATTGAAAAACAATTGTAGAACAAACTATTTTGCCAAGTATACTATATTCGCTAATTGAGGATCAATTGAAAATACCTTAATTAAATATTCTAATTGAGTTCATACGTCAAACACTTTTTTTAATTATAGTTTCTCATACAAGCATGGATAGCTATGAGCATCATTAGTTATTGGCCAAATCGGATATATGGTCTCTGTGGTCATAAGGTATTCGGAAGATAGTCCGTGTGCTAAAAAACACTCAGATTTAAACCTTTGTGGTGTACTCCGTTAGCAAATTTAGTCCAAAAATAATTTTTCGGTTAACTATCTGTTAATACATGGGTAAAATTGTACTTTGTCATCTTATTCGACACCCAGCTGTCGGATTCATCAGCCTTCGACTGTGACCAACCCAAAAAACTACCCCCTCCTCCTCGCTCCCTCCTCTCAAAGGAATTTCCCGGCATCGATTTCTTCGCGGCGGTTGTTAGTAGCTTCTCGGACATGGTGTTGTTAGTAGCTTCATGCAACTGAGAATAAAGACGAGGCAATGGAGGTCTGTCCAGCCCCAGCGAGTGATGGAACCGAAACCAAGGGCCTGAAACCCCTCATCTCGCTCTACTCCAACTGTCTCTGGAACCGCGTCCGCTGCTCATCCCCGCTTCTGATTCCAATTTTCTCCGGAAAATTTCAATTCTTGCCGGGGCTGGGGAATCCAGATCACGCAAACGACGAGAATGTCTTCCCCTTCCGCTGCCTTTTAATCCACTGGAATCATCTGGGTATGCCTCTTATTACATTACATTACTCTCTGTTTTGGTTGCTTTTATGCATTTTCTGCACTTTGTGCTGGACACCGTGTAATCCTCCCAATACACTAGTATCCTAAACCCGGATTTACATATACACGTATACATATATACATGTATACATACACGCACACACGAGCCGCTGCTTCGTCATGATCACAAAAATGGACAGTATAAAGACGAGGAAGTACAAATTACAAACCTTGTTCTTGTACATTGGACAGTATAAAGATGAGGAAGAAGAAGGTGCACACGTCAAAGTACAATTTTACTCATGTATTAACAGATAGTTAACGGAAAAATCACTTTTGGACTAAACTTGCTAACGGAGTACACCACATGAGTTTAAATCCGAATTTT